TTCTCAAAGCTTAAGAGACAAGTCAATATAATACAACCAGTCAATTTAACGAATTATAAGACTTGAGAGACTGTCATTGCGGAAGATTGATACACTGAAATAGTTTTATATATTCATCAGACCATTTTGATGGAATGGAAGTAATTGTGGAATACGATTCAATTTTTCCAATCAATTAAAAGAGCCAGGTCTCCCGGATGACACCATATATCCTAAACTTTTCTTGACCATGCATTGCTTCCAGACTTGCTCCGCCCCTCCCAGCGTATCGTAGCCTTTATAAACATTCTTGTAGCCAAACAGGAAGAAATACTGTTTCAACGTGCTTGGTATAGTCGACTATCAATCAAAGATGTTATTTAATGTTGCAAACGGATTTGCCAGCTAATCAAACATCTTTTTCGTCTTCCTTGTAATGGAAGACCTTTCATGTTTTTAGCGCAGTTCATCATGAGAACTCCCAGAACTGAGCTTAGCGTAATTCGTCCTATTAACTACAAACCCGAGTTTAAAATTTCACGTTTTAAGAGACATTTGGACATAATTAACGAAACGGGTACATAGGGATCAGCTGCTAAACCATTTCCCTTAACTATGAGGAAAAGGCAAGTCTACGATGAACTAACTTGTTTAAAATTAGCTTAACAGGTTATTAACCCAACACCCAGCTTAACAGGTGGATAACCCAACACCCCTCCCCCAGCAAGGCTCGCATTACTTGTCTTGTCGTTGTACTGCGAACCGCGATTAAGTTCGTTGAAATATACGAGGCTGGTACAGTATTGAAAAATGCTTTGCTTTCTGAATTTATCGATGCTACTCCTCAGTTCATGTATCTTGAAGCAGTAAAAGTAACGGGGAAAAAATAAACTTAGGAAACAAAAGTTGAAACATTGAAACCTTGAAATAGTCTAAGTAAACTCAACGAAGGGTCTTTCACTTCAGCGACTTTAGTATAATGTGACACAGAATAATAGATGTATTTAGATAAATAAATCAAATGGAATCTTGTTACATAGTCTGTTTGTTGGACATTTGAGGAGCATCACATTGCAACAATAATATCTATAGTATTAACATAAAATATAATATCAACAGTATTAACATACTTTGATCTAATTAAAAGAGAGATGATAATCGTAGGAAAGCGCATTAATTAGAGGTTATTGATACGATGTTTTTTCTGAGAAGCAAACACGACAGTCTTTCAAAATAATAAATGATGGCGAATCAGCAAGATACCAAAAAAACATGCTAATCATCAGAGAGAAACGAAAAAGATAGCCGACAATATTTTCATTGATCGTATCTTTAGAATTTCGCCTTAGGATGTAGGAAAGTCACAGGCTTAAAAAACTTTCGGAAAAGTTTTGAACAAAAGAGCGTTTTGTGTACATGACAGCGTTATTCTCCAATAATCTTTTTACGGTGTTACAAGAGATGATAAAGAAGGTTCTTGTTTTTAGATAGCATTGAATGGGTGAAGCAGAGGTAAAGCTTTTTGCGCAAACAACTAAAATAAGGCTTGATGCTTATATAAAGATTTGGTTGATGCCTGTTGCATTTCGTTAAGTGCGACAAAATAGCCCGGCTGCCGTGGATCTTCGCTTTGATTTATTTAACTCAAAGTAAGCTCCTGAGTTGAAGAGCCATGGGCGACAAATTTTCTTTAGTGATTGTTATTTTGCCAGACGTGATCTAATGATCTGATGGCCTCCTTAAATTACAAAAGAGCTACCATCGCACGTTCCTCTCCTGTCTATCATCTGCGCAGCCAGAGTTACGATGACCCTCCTGCTACACTGCTTAATACTTTCATTGTACCTCGTTTCCGTTCCACTTAAACATCATTTTCAGTGTAGTCGAAGAATTTCATGCGGAAATTCCTTTTAATGATAAAATGTAAAACAATTTTTGCTGCACGAGTTCGCGCACGTGCAATGTTAAGAACCTGTTGATAATACACCCCGCAGGTAAAGGATGAACCGTATCACCGACAATGCGATAAGATTTTCTTGAATAGAAAGGGATAGTATAAAAAAGGTATGCGTTTTAATGGTCACACCTTGGTCGAGCAAAGTTGCCTAAGCAGACGAAGCCCTTTTGTTGTTAAATGCTGATATCCTCCAGTGCAGAGCACTATCCTTTTAAACAATAAATAGTGTGGTAAAATATCAAATTTATAAGCTTGATATAATGTATAATGTCATGTTTGTGACATTTGCCATCTCATTGTCACAATACAGGGCACATGATGACGTTTTTCTCCGAATACTTAATAGGTCAACACCTTTTACTGATTCTCATAGAAAAGAAGGCGAGAGTGGTATTGTACAAACCACTGGGCTTTAGGATATGAAGTTCTCAACTTAAATGTGGTTCCGGGTTGCTTCATATTCGAATAATAGTGAAACCATAAGAATTTTAGAAGAGGGCTCTCAAGCTTCAGGCGACTCAACCTACTATCCCGTAAAAAAATGCTGAGACATAAATGCAAATTTTGCAAATTTTTTTTCTACTTTGCGTTGCCCCTGTAAATTCAAATCCCCTCCTCCTTTTCTCCGAATCCATGTTGGATTTGTAGTTCTATCATTTCTCCTTCAAAATCATGTATTCAACATTGAATTGAGGGGGGGGGGGGTTTCAAATGAAAGAGAAAATATCAACTTTTCTTGAAAACTCTCAACTATTTTTGTCCGGGATTGTAGGTAGCTACTTGAAACCAAGCAAACCATTTGAAAGGGAAGTCGTTGCCTTGCAAGGAAAAGAGAGGAAGAGAAATATGTATGGCAGTTTTTATGTCTTAAGTTTATTAAGAGGAAGGGAAATATAACTGAGGGAGTATGATAGTGCCCCTCCCCTTCACTTAAAATGCTACGGAGTTTTTTCACCGGACACTTTCGAAATCTGCTACAAAAAATTACTGGACTTGTAAACCCTGTCCAGTTCTGCGTATGGATGAGACCCATGAAATATGCTGTCAGACTTTCGCTCACTGAATTTACTAAAACATTTTCATGCTGTTTATCTTTCCTGTATGAGTTCTATACGCTTAGAAAATTGTAGTACACATATAGAATCTAATTATAATTTGGATGCAGCCTTTATGGAAAAACAGAAAGAATCGCTAGTATAAATGTTGAGCATATTCACATGACAGCCAGTGGTGGGGCCTTGCATCTAAATGTGCAGGGGCAATAATGAATAAAAATTTATCTTGATAATCATAATGAATAGAAATGAGGTTTCAGTAAATTATCAAAGTTGAATCTTAATGATAACTACCGGGGTTTAGGCCGCTACTCAACAATGTAGAAGAAAAACAAATTGCAGTATGTTTTGGGTTTGATGGTACTTTCATACGTTCGTTCAAGTTTGTTTCTCTATACATGTAGAAAATTCACTAATATACCATTATCTTTACTTCAAGACTGATATGTTTTGAGAAACCCTTCTCAATTAATACCCATAACGACAATTTGGTCGAACCAGTCTTCCTTTGGACAACTGGCAGTTGTGGTTACCTTTAAAAAAGCTTGAAGCAGTTATATTGTGATTGTTTCAAAAGAGTCTTTGATTCTTGAGTTTCTACTCATTAATTACTTACGTCTCTCAAGAGTCGGTTTCTACCAGATTGAATAGTGAAGTTGAAATTCTCAATATATAATCTGAAATCCACTTTTGGATTCAATCCCCAGTTTCATTACTAATAATCCTATTTATCATTCCAAGTTTCTGACCTTTTATTGAAATTAGATAACATAGCACATCGTTGATTGATACAGTTTTAAATCTTGTCAGAATATTTATTATTTTGTCATATTAAGGATAATACTAAATTGCACCAAGGATAGTACAATAGCTATTCCATTCCTTCGGCAGAATGCTTATTTGTGTAATAACTTCGTTATAGCAATCCTAAATGAAAAATCTCTACTATACACTGCAAAAGCTTACGTTCTCAATCTTGCTTATTTTTAAATAAATAGCCTGAAATTTATAAAGTCTGCAAGTGAGAACATATTCAAAACTACAGGCTGAATTGGTTCTAGTACACGAGGGCCTTATTCCACACCAGGTTCTTATAGGCGGGTGTTTACTATACACTAACGTCAGTTACCGTACACTAACTTGGTGTAGCAATATATATTAATTATACTCTTTGCACCTATGCTTTCTATTTATGATAAAGTAGCTCAATTACTTGACTTATGTGCAGTCACTAAACAATAAATACATCTCGTACTTGCTACTAAGCTGACACTTGTTCACGTATAAAAACGATGTCGGATTCTTTCATACAGTACTTTTTGCCGTAAACCCTCATCCTTGCATTTTGCAGAACATACTGCTGCTGCCCTTCTCTTCACTCTACCTAATATATAGCTATCCCAGAGCTTCGGCTACACGTTTATCTTACACAGAAAACGTAGTGCAGGAAGCCCATTTTCTTCGAAGTATGTTTGCAGTTTTCTGATGTTGGTTTACTTTTTATAAGTGTGCAATAGTTTGCCTAAATTTCAATTATAGTTACAAAGAAACACGACAACTGAATTCGCGATAAGTTATCGACGTTTTACATGCAATAAAAAATTGAAATAGGCATCAGTGCTATAATTAAGTACGGCAAAAACCAGTCAATAATACAAAGACACCAAAAGTGCTTTAGCTTTCTCGATTCAGGTAGAATCACTTCCAAAGCTTTGTCAATTGAACTTAGAAATTCTCAAGGCAATATTTTCCTAAAACTGAGTTTTTTATTACTAGAATTGTCCCCAAGCAAGAGGCATTTATCCGAATTTTTTTGCAACTAATTACTATGATTATTTAGATGCCATTTTTGGATTTTGATTGAAGCAAAAAGTTGTGAATGGCAATGTATTCCTTGAATGCTGCGTATAGAGCTTGCCTGTCGAGTAAGCATATTGAAATGCACGTTGGAAATTGTCATTTGCATAATGAATTATGTGTAAATTTGAAAAGACAAATTTGTCACTTACCAGGTATTTTCCCTCTCTTTGCTTTGTTGTAGTCTTCTACAAATTCTATGGCACCGAGAATCGGGATCTTTAGTTGCAAAAGAGTAGATGAGACTTTACGCGAATGGATAGCAAGGTGCCGATTCATTGATTGAATCTTCCCACTGTCATCCGTTCAGATATATTGCAATAAATCTAACAAACAATCGACTAACAATAGCTTAATCCTATCCTTAGCATTGTCCAATCGTAGACGTGAGTCATACTGTATCAAATACGCCGACCAAACATCAAGCGCGCCTCTCCGCGCTCGCTTCAGACTCTTTCATTACTCATGCTTATTTGTGAAAGAAAAACTGCCCGATTACGATCTACTAATCTCGTGCCGAGCAATCATGTAATATTTCCGGGTTAATGAAATATCATTTATTTATCTTTATTATTTTGTTTTTGATATTTTATGATATTTTTGCAAAGGTTTATTAGATTTCACAATTTACAGGCCGATATGCGTGGTCAGGTACCGTTGTGGGCGTGTGTGGTTTTGTTGATAATTTTCTTCACATCTCCAGAATCAACACGCCCTCATGCCCTGAGGAGCCGACGATGTACGCCCTGCGAGGGCGTATGTCAACGGAGGAGCTATGAGTTTACCATTGGAAGAGATAAGAGTGGCACTTTCCTTCCCTATCAATGTATACCCTTGAATTTCTTCTTCAAAATTATATATAAAGCTTCTGAATTCTGAAATTAACGGTTAACCTGTTCATCAGTGAGTACTTATAAAAAGGGTCGTTCGTATCTGCAAGCCAAATCTTAGCTCCGTAACGCGTCAATGAAGCCCCCCTCTTTAAAATGGACTTAACTCCCTTGTACAAACACCACGCTTTAATAGCCTCTCGAATAAAAGCGAGAACTTCGAAGTGTTGAGTGTTTGTAAAATCGTAATCAAAATAAAGAAAGTTTAAATGCAATTTACATTACTGCTTTGGACGACCATCATTTTAAACATATACTACTTTCCTTATCTCGTCAATGCTCATAACTAACAATACCTTTTTTAATTGGAGATTGGAGCACTTTTTAATTAGGACCCCTCAGGTAAACGCCCAGTCGGAAACTCCAAAAATTGATAAAGTGCACAGGCACCGCATCGTGGATTTATTGGCGGTTTCGTGATATCATTTTTTACCTAACAACAGAAGCCGAAAGAAGGGTTTGAAGGTATAAATCGATCCCTTAACATTGATCAAAACAGGCCTTACCTGATTCTTCTGATGGCTGATGAAATGTATTGGGCAGGGGTCGATTTCATAAATTTTAATAAAGATAGCAAAATTTAATAAATTTTTTTGAAGATAGCAAAAATAGAAGTCTTTAAAAGAGAAATTGTTCAAAAGAGATGTTACTTATGTTCTTGTAGTAAAAATGAGATGGTCGCGAAAATAGACACAACTTCGAATAATCCCCCCTTCTTCGAATAAGCCCCACCCAAAATTAGTTTTTTTATGAAATTAATACCCACCCTTGAATACACTCATATATCTGAGGTATTGCCTCTACAGCAATAGAACTATTCCAATATTTCTGCATTTTTGAGCATACTGTCTGCCCTCAAATTGATGATGAAAATTTACCCTGGCAATTCTTTTAGCTGCTGCTAAATAAGCCCCATTTTTAAATAAGCTGCCCTTGAATGCGCCCCGCCCTATTTTTCTTCGAAATAAGCCTCCGGGAGCTTATCGGATCACCTACGGTATAAATGCTTATTTTTTTTTCTAACTGATCTAAGACTAATGAGCTAAAATGACACGTCAGAAGCGTTCTGGAAATAAATTAAACACGCTCAGACTTGTTAGCCTAGATATGTCTTTTTTAGAATAAGGAAGTCACTTACAATCCCACAAAATTTTTATGTAATAAAAGCCAACGTGAAGTGGTTGAAAATTTTAAGAATGTAATTCGATTTAAAGCTTCGATACAGCCATGCCCTTACCCTGGGTAACAGATCCACATAAATTTGAGCGCGGGAATAGAAGGTAGGACGTTTTTTGGCTCCGGTACCCAGGGGATATGTCCTCTGATCTTACAAGGAAAAAATTTTTTAAGAGAACAGGTGAAACACTCTGAAGGGGTTGATAAAGAAGACTTAAGAATTGATAACACAAAGAGTTTCTATGGTCTAATTTTCCATTACTGGATTTGTTGTTCTGTTGTTTTATCAAAGGATGTCCTTTTTCGGATATTCGGATGGTGAAGAATACGAAACCTTCGACTGACAATGAGACAGTTGAAATTTTGGGCTAAAATTGTACTACGCCTTTTAGTGGCAGAGCTTTAACATGACATGGTTCTGAAATTTTCTTTCTTAATTTCTTTCTTAAACAATGGGATTACGATTTATACTTTTCGACTACCATCAACCTTTTCGACAAATTTAAAGAATTTTGAAGATTGGGGATGTGTCGCCCCACACTCCCCTAGAATTTACGTGCCTGGATATATAAATGTATCACTCAAGGCAAAATACTACTCCAGACGTTTTGAATCTACAGTCAGGGCCGTCGCGAGGCAAGCCTTGTTGGGGGGGGGGGGGGTTGGTGTGGACTACAAATTTACCTGATTAAAAAAATGTTGCCTGAAATTCTTTAGTTGCTGTCACAAACCTCTGCAATTTATTTTGTCAATCTGACTTTGATATAATTCGCAACTTTCATTTTAATTTGATAATAACGGAATTTTCCTAGTAGTTTTGTCAAATCTCTATATCAGAACCGGCAAAGGATATAGTTACTACCCGTGGCGGCACCATGGTTGCCGCCGAAGGAGCAGACAAATTTTCGAATTTTGATGCTTCTAGTTCCCTGGAAAATGCACTATTTTATGCAAATTTCACTAAAGCAATCCTCCTACTCCTATTGAAAATAATTTTTTTTGCAAACAAATTGTACAGCAGATAAAAACAACTGGTACAATTTCGCCGTGGTCTTGAGAAATACCATGTTGTCAGTTACTTCTGAAGCTAGGTAACAAGCAGCACTGGTTGCCAATTTAGATCCCTCTTTCCATCTTAGCATGCCTTTTGAATGTTAAAAAAATCTGGAGCTCATAGTGAATTGCAGTTGACGCTTCTACCGAGAAACTTTGGGAGAAATGAACACAAGACACAATTTTACCTAAAGAAGGCCTGGATTTTTCGATTTAGTACCAAGAAGAAATCTTCAAATATTCAAATCATTAGTTTGTTTACCTTCATTCATATCAAGGAATATCATAATTAACCAACGGAGCAACTACCTTTGCTTGATCCTTTATTGATTTTATGATATGAAGATCTCTAAAATACCTAAAGCGTTTCTTCAACCAAGCGGATTTTACCTGAAATTCCTATTGAGATACTATTGGGGGGTGTGACACCCCCACACACCCCCCGGTCGCGATGCCCCTGTACAGTACAGTTGTTGTCCACTTCTTAGCAGGAACATTGTGTGTTTCTAAATTCGAAGTCAACAGTTTTGGGGATAGATAATATTTTGGTAGCGTTAAGTGACATGGTTCTGTGAATTTGAAACTGCCTTTACATAACCAATCGTTAGTCGTGAGCGCTTGTAACGAGTACAGAAAGCGTTTCTTGCTGGTAAAAGGGCTTTTTCTAACAGCAAAGCGTCGTGGTCTGGATTTTCGAATCATGCCCAAACCACCCTCCCACTCCGCCCCAAAGCCTAATGGCTAGCAACCCACCACTCTTATAGTATGGCTTGCCACCGTTTGAAAAGCATAACACATTTTGTCCGTGCATTTCGACCAGGATTATAGTACCTTGTAGTGACCACATTTGTGAATGAAACCAAAAACAATCAAATAAAATATTCAGATCATAATTTAGACTAAACAACCCAATAATAACTCTAGTTTTTAGTTGATCAAAGCCACTTAAGAAAAGTATTTACAAAACTGTTTTCAAAACCATCTCGTTTAGCAACTATGTGATCTTCTTTTGACATTATATTAATCTGTTACGGTTAAAATATTTCATCCCTTGCCAATTCCTTTTCATTGGCGAACGCTTTGGCTGTGGGATAAACGTGTTTAGGTGAATTTTTTCAACGGTCGTAATTGGCTTCTCAAGGATTTCCATGTTTTTCAATGTCAATTAAGTGAAGATTTTTATAAGCATCATCATCATATATGACATTTTCTACATTGCTTTCACTTGTTTTCGTAATCAAACCATCCAGAGGGCAAATATTCTCCTCTTTACATAGCCCTACATCATGGAGCAAACAACTTGACAAACAACTGGAAATACGTAAGAAAGTGAATTTCAAATTCTTTTTCATGCGTATTTTTCAATACAACTGGGGTTTTTCGCTTCAAATCTACATAGATGATTTCCTGTGAACATTTCCTTTCTTTCTGACTTCTATACCTAGCAAAAAGAAAATATTTAAAGGCTTGTTTGTGCATAAAATAACAGAAAATGTCAAGCGAACGTTCTCTTTCCAGTGATCAAGATGTGCGTTTTGAGGACTAACGTTGCCACCATGACAAATAAAATAAAACAATTATAAGCACAGATTTAACTTTGATCTAATTTTTGTTTTCTTATCTTGACGCTAACTGATAACAGAATTTCTATTCTGAACAAGTCAACCTCTATTAATATAACTTAATGTGATACCATTGAACATGTTTTTTGGAGTATAAACGTTTGCTTGTTGGTGGAGGTAACAAAAAAACCTGTATCGGTAAATGGAGATAAAAAATCATTCAATTACAGACAGATTCCACTGTTATGCATGCTTTGCATCACACTAATCAGATGGGGAATTTAAATTGACGAATTTTGGGGGGTGGGGGTTGGTTGAAGGGTGCAAAATTCTCGACCAACAATAAACTAACAACAAACAAACTGTAATCAAACAAGAAATCAAGAACCGAATTATACTAGATTGTACTTGACTTACTACTTTCTCAAACCTTGTATTCGCCTCAAAAGGAGGTTTGAGTAAGCAAGCTGTTTTGAGGTCACTCATTTTTGACCAGGCAAATATTAGATCATTCTTTGCTAGTACCAATAACAATTAGGTTTCTGGCTAACAGCACCTTTGCCGCCCTGAGCTTCCCACGTCTAAAAAACCACAGCTAGCCAAACAAACCAATAATCAATAAATCAA